TCTATCTATCTATCTATCTATCTATCTATCTATCTATCTATCTATCTATCTATCTGTCTGTCTGTCTGTCTGTCTGTCTGTCTGTCTGTCTGTCTGTCTGTCTATCTATCTATCTATCTGTGTGTACACAGAGCCCAGCACTACCGAGAACTGGGCAACAATCAGATGCTGATCAGTGTGAAGAGCTCGGGCATGATACACTGGGAGCCCGGGATCATCACCGAGACCAGCTGTGCTGTCAACATCGGCAAGTATCCCTTCGATACCCAGAACTGCGCCATTCGTTTCCTCACCTGGATGCACACCAATAAGTGAGTACATTTTGTAAAAGGCATCATTTGTTACTGCAGGGGAGGGGGTGTTTGGTTTTTTGAAGTTTAAGTGTTTTACAGCGCTCGCAACTACGTAAGATCATAATATGAGCGCGCGGGACACATTAAATATTTTCAGTTGGTAAAATTTTGAATTTTGCCCAGGTGGTGACCGAAGCTTACTTTGTTGATTTTGAACCGCCAAGGGATCTTAAGCTGGGGTAACTTGCACACGGAACCTCCGAGGTTTTTTGCCATTATTCAAGAAGGCTATGTGTTAGATCTTACCTACCAAAAGATCAGGGGTGTCGCTGAAAGCAGTAAGAAGGAGCCAAGGAGTAGCAGTAGAAAGGCTACAGAAACAGTCAGGAGCCCAGAGGAGGGGGCAAAGGAGGTGAGGAGTTTGAGGCAGAAAGTGGAGACGAAAGCAGACGACAGTGCATTTTTGGAAAGCAGAGAAAGATGTGAAAAGAGAACATTTTAGAGAAGAAAATTTTCCGTCGCTATCCGGGTTCGAAACGAGGGACCTATTGAATATGAGGCGAGCACCGTAGCCTCTAGACCACGAGAGTCCCCATTGTGTGTTTTAATTGATGCTTTATTCATTTGCTGTGTGTTTTCTTACGTTTATCATATTTCGTTTTGTTTTTGTTGACAATTAATCTTGGGGTTTGTTTTGTTGTTTTCTAGTTTTTGGTTATGCTTCGAAGTCTATTTTTTAATCATTACTGTTATAGCTCCTTCATTTTGTTTGCAAGTTTATGGGAATATTATTATTGTGGGGGCAGGGGGTGTTTTGCTTTGTTTTTGATTTTGTCTTTGTTCTCATTTGGAGAGGATAGGGATTGTTTTGTGATGTATTTATTGTGGTTGCTTTTTTAATGTTTGTTGTTTTTTGTGTTGTCTTTTTTTAGCAGTGGGGAGGGAGTACATAAAATCCCAACACACACGCGTGCG